TTGCCATTTTGGTATTTGAACCATCACACCTGTACTATACCAATTACGGTAATATTACGTTGCGTGTGACAGATGTTTAGGGTTGTTGATAAATATTTGTGTTTGACATATATGAAGGATTGTTTGATTGACCAATTAGTTGATTAAATAACCAGAATATTTCAAGTACATTTTCTCCAAAATAAGTTATATGATTTCCAATGGAAACTTTATACATGAAAAAAAATGAAAATTTTAAATAAGACATTCCATAATTATTCTAATTCAAATTAGATTTGAAATCATTGGTTTGAATATTAAAATGTTCATCGTGATTAAGACACTGATATGTACGGAAAATCATTAATTTTGTTTTATCTACAATTAAAATTAATCTATTTATATCCATCCATTCACCTAAGTAAGGTCATTTGAATTTGATAAGCAGTGTCACCAGCGTATAAAACTACTTTATCGAGCTTGGCAACACTAGTAAGCCATTCACAAACATTATTTGGTAATCGAATTTGGACAGGGGCGAGGGTTTGCTGATGATTACTTGTGTTAGAAAAGATGAAGGGTTATTTATAAATATTTGTGTTAGAGATGGACGCTAGTAACACGTATGTGTGTTGTGATCAATAACCAAAACTTCATACATATATTATGAATAATTACCATTTGGTGACATTTCATGCATACCATTAATTCAGGAAATTTAGAAAGTTAAAACTTAACATAAATGCAATCACTTCTCCAGCAAGCGGTGTTTAATATCGCATTCATACGAATTATATACATTGTCGTTCAATTGTATAGGGTTTAATTGTATAGGTCCTGTCCAATTGTATTTTGAGGTGAGTGAATTGTAATGTTTCATTAATTTAAGGCATCACTTAATGTTCAATGCTTGTAATATTAATGAATTAATTTTAATATTTTATTTTAATTTCAACACTAGATATGATTTACTAGCTTGAAAATGGTATATCACAGAAATGAAGCTATGGCTAGACTGGTAAAAGTTATAGGTCCTGTCCCATTGTGTTTTGAGGTGAGTGAATTTTAATGCCACATTCTAAGGTATCACGTGCTGTTCTCGACATGTAATATTAGATCTGTTTAATTATTTTAAAAGATCCTTTTCATTAGTAAATGGCACCCTCATACAACAAAACTTAGTATAAGTGGTTGATCAAAAATGTGATGAGTCTGGTTCATCTATTGGCTAAGCTTGTTGTACATATATGCAAATGAGTATAGGAACCATAAATGCTGCAGGGTGTATTGGGAGGGGTGGAGGATTTCATGTTTGCAATGACTGGTTGTAATGTGCTATCTCGGTGACCATTTTTCAACCAGTAATTCACTGTTTGATACAAACATTTTAGTTACAACTTCATGTTCGTTTCATTAAAACATCTTGTTATTCTATCAAAAAACGCTCTTGTGTGTATTCGTGTATATTTTGATATTATTATCAGATTATATTTAACGAGAGTGAAATTCTCCAGCAGTACTGTTAACAAGTTTTTGAAAACCTTTTTAATTTCAAATAACTATCATATCTAAATATCGTTTATCACCTACATTTATTATGTGTTGTCACCACACTAAATCCCGTCATGCATTGCTGTTGTAGTTATACCATTGGTGCTAATGTTCCATGTCCATCTTAAAAAATCGAAAAAAAAAACATGTTGGTGTTCATCCAAGACTGACAGAAAATCCTTTACAGGATTTTGTAATATAGTTCATCTTCGCCCACCAATCAGAGAATCTTGCATGTGATTCGGTGATAACCTGGTGATGTTAAAGGCTCACACGAAACAAAACCTATTCATGTTATCAAGTTATTCTACACAGATTATCATATTATTATTAGCAAAACCTTATCTTTTTAGGTTAAGTGATGTCACATCGACAGTCGTACGCCTTATTGAAGACGGAAGTGTGAATGGAACAACGAAACTGGTGAAGATCCTGAAGACTTATGCTCTCAAAATATCGATTGAATAATGTTTCAGATCACGACGTGTTTATATTATGTTTTAATTTACAAATAATATATTAACTTCTTGTAGTACTTAGTGACAATAGCAACATATCCATCCGGATAAATGCTCCAAAGTATTTTATATATTATAAATATTTCATTTTGAATGACCATGTGATTATATTCTCCAGCCAAATATACATTCATGTTTTCAAAAACACAGTTTTCATCAAATGAGAATAACAACATTTCTTGTGAAAAATAAAAATAAAGTTTGATGAAATTACAAAAGGCTGCATTTCTATATATCTTATACTAGTTTGAATGATACATTACACAGGTGGATGTATGAATACAAATTAAAGGCACAAACCTATATACATGCAACATAGGGTTTAAACTCCTGACCAAAATAAATATATGTTTGTCAGTATGTTACGTAGCTACGTATGAAGTACTAACCGAGACTTGATAATCTTCTGAACAAAGTTTTGTTTTTCTTGACATACAACACTATAGATTATTACCCTTTAAAAGTCATCAAAAAAGCTTAAATCTTGTTGTGAACTTAGACAAAACTGCAATTATGTTGTGACTCTTCGAATAAATAACGAGTTAAATATTTTTATATTATTCTTTTGAAATAAAGCTTATCAATGAAATGCACAATGCTACAAAATATGTTCGTGTCAAGGTTCATGGAGTTATTGTAAAATATAATAAATTTCATGTTTGCTGAAGTTTCATAAACGTACTAATGTGTGTTCTGCTTGAAAATTCCATTTTGTGGAAATCGACGTTTCAAATGTTCACAAAACATTTCCGCTCACACTGTTTTCTGTCTTTGAAAATTTTTAAATAAACACTGGCAATAATTTTTCCGACATTTAACTATGCTTGACATGGAAATCTGTGCTAAGAACCATCCCTTTTAGTTATTAATTTACAGCTAGTCATGGCAATTAAAATTTATTCAGCTTGAAGTGTGTGGGTTGCAAACATTGAAGTGGGTGGCATCAGGTGATGTGGTAGCCATTGTCCGATTAATTTAAGGTAGAGATGCAGGTTCGTGGGCTTTTTTAGCTTTTTCTTACCCAGACAGTCTTGGCTAGATAGAGTTTAAATTTCGGAGCATTGTCATTGTGGGAACATACTCAAAAATCAGTTTTAAAATATAGGGAACCGAGGCACTCGTATGTGATTAAAAGTCCCGAAAGTTTGTTTGCGTTGCTCTTTGATTGACAAGTCACTTTTGATGTTATATGCAAATGATTGCTGGCCTCAGTTACGGAGCAGCCGGTGTGCGACTTCCTGTACTGGCTCTCTGTTTACTTACCTCAAGCGCGATCAACTAGCAAACTACAAAAACAGACAAGACGTAGATGCTTCCAGCATACAAGCGGAATATACATACATAAACATACACTTGTAACTGATAAGTAAACTTTTTCACCCTTAAATAAATTGATTTTTCATTTATTTTTAGGTAGAAGGTAGCGTCGATAGGGCGATTTAATTTTCGCGCAAAACAAGGCCACAATTTCTTTTGTTTTCTTGGTGCATGTATTTCAAGCTTTTTTGCATTGTGGGCGAAACTAAAAAATGTTTCCACAAATTTTTACTCCAACGGCATTTTAACACTGAAGTAAACATTTTCATTTCGCTGTAATGATTATCGTGCTGATAGAATTGTGATGCAATTGACAAACAGCACAGTTGTTGCTGTCATCGCTAACTAACTTTTCAGTGTTAAAATATACAAACATAAAAGGCTTGGTTAATTAAAAATAAAAAAAAAACACCCTGGAAATTACCGAAAAATCGGTAATGAGATGCTGTTTTTAAACACCGCGGAAAATCATGCACTGTGCGATGCCATCTTGGTTACCTTAATCGGGAACCCCCTTGTCAGCTAGCATGCACCGGTAGCGATGTCGCAAACTACGTTGTATAGTCGTGATCGGCGACCTCTGGTACTAAGGAACTTTATGAATTAGGTATTTCCCGGTCACGGTTCGTTTAATTTGCATCGACCTGTCTCGTCTGTAGTTGAATGAAACCTGCATCGATTTACAATAGTTCTCTTTCTAATGTGACTTTATTTCGAATTTGTTTCACCGGCGTTTGGGTGATTGAGTAGTAAAAACTGCGAATAGCCGTTGTGTAGTAAAATATTAGGGCCCATTTCAACCTGGTCATCTAACTTCGCACGGTCCACGAAAACTGCGTCTTTTTAAAGATTTGAGAAAAGGTAAATTTAGACTCAACCCACCCAATGGCAATCGCTATGTTTATATAACTGTATGAATATGTCATCGGCTTTACGTAATCTATTGTGTCCCTCCCTCAGTGGAATTGATAACACAACGCCATGACAGTTTTCACGCAAGGTTGAGACTTCACGGACGATTTTTCGTCCGTTTCCCTCGAATTGTAAATATTTTTATTTAATTTTTTTTACCTGACGATTTGACATCAGCAAATTTCGGTGTATGGTGTATTTCTATGAGTTTCTGTTACACATATGAAGCGAATGATTCGTTTTAAAACTTTTTTTTACAAAATGGCAATTATCTCAGTTTCATTTTTTACTCAAAATTTCAACTTTAAAACTATTTAACTTCTAGACGGTTCATTTGTTTTCAATGTAATTTTCAGGGGTCATTATTCAGGTCTATCCTAAGTAAATGGCTTTGTATGGTTTCACTGTCTTCACTGGAACAGAAACAATAGAGCTGCCAATTAGCGGCTCTGTTAACTGTGAACGATTTATAAAATGTGAATGTTTCAAAGAGCACTGTGTAAAAACTTTCCAATGGAAACACTAATAAATAAGCCATTATGTTCCTAGTAAACAGGAGTTTTAAATAAGTGTTCTTAAATTAAAATCAGGGTATGCATTCAAATGTTAAATAGTTTTAAGTGCACTTTCACCTAAAATGCATGATTATAACCCAAAATCAACACCATTTAATATGGTATCATAGTACATTATTGTAAACCATAAAACTCAAAAGTTTAAATAAAACTCTGTCAAATGATATATAACTTGATTGGTAAAAAGTATATTTTACTCATGTAATTACAGTAATTAGAGGCAATTAGAAATATAATCTCCCAACCTGCATCTCTACCTTAATGGGCTGACAGGATAAATTTTAAAGTAGAAAAACTTGTTGGTTGCATAGTGGTTCTAGCCATAGAAAAAAAATTAAGTCAAATACAGTGAATAAAATAAGGATATGTGTTACAAGCAATTGTCAAGTTAAAATGTCAATTGTTGTTAATTAAAAGAAGATTGAAGATCTTGTAGTGTGACTATTCTTTAACCAATATAAAGAACGTGTTAAATTATTAGACGCAAGAACAAAATGCAGATGAAAGGTGACATTTTATAACACCATTTTTAAAAATCATTTACATTTTGAAAATGCATTTTTGTTTTTATTTTTTTAATCTATTCAGTTCCTGTAACTAGTTTCGTCTCTAGAATACATGTCTCCTTTTCAAATTCAAGTTTTAAAGTTAATTTTTGTTTTAAACACCCATTTTCATTTTATTTTTAAGTAAGTAAATCCTTGCGATTTAAGTTCTTCATAACTGGATTAATAATGGTCAACTAACTTGCTTTACCTTAGGTCGTGCTGGGTCATATTGTGTTTTATTTCTAATGTTGGTATATACTGATCGGTTGTGTACTGAACAATTCAGATGATTTTTGTATATAACATTATAATATCGATAACTTTTTTTGTACATGAGGTTTTACGTATTAAACGCGTCAGTTGTTAATATAATAATTGTTTGGGGCATAATTTTGATCGTTTCGTAGAAATTTCAGATGCATTAGCACAGCAAGTGTACACAAATATATGTAATTTACAGGTTGGGTTTCTATTGTTTTTATCGAAACCTGTCCGTATTTGACAATTTTTTTCGTTTCACACTAACCTTTCTTTATTTTCTCATTTAATACAATTATTGAGGTATGTAAATGTGTCGAAATGGACATAGTGCGAGTGGTTAGTGCTAGTAGCACTAATCCGAAAAAGT